CTCAACTTGAATAATTTAGAAGCTTTTTTGTCCGTAACTGCCGCATGCCACCTCTCGGGGTTCCATACCCCGTCCTCGAGGTGGGCCCCCGAGATGTTCCTGGGCCAGGCCTGCGCGAGGGGTGAGTCGCGCAGGGCCAGCAGGGCCGTCTTCGTGTACATAGTCCAAAAGGGAGTCCGTGGCATAGAGGAGGGGATGGGGTTTGATCCCCTTAGGTCTTTCAAACATAAGGCCAAACGGAGAAACCAGCCAGGCTGATCAGTGAGTCAGCCGGTCGTTAAGCGAATCTGGCTTCTCCCATTGACTTTGCTGGTCAGAAGGTGGCAAAAGGGGACCCCGAGACGCTGCGATCGTCATAAATAGGAACCGGTTGCCAAGCTTCTGAATTTGGATCACGTGATCGTGGGGGAATGCTGCATAGGTCGTAACTGTGAAAAACGGTCATAAGTCATTTTTCTCAGTGCCGTTGTGACTTTGAACAGTCACTAAATGAACTGTGATAAATTGAGGATTACCCATAATCCTCTTTCTCCCTCATTCCCTCTTTTCCTATGGCCAAGAAAGGGGACATTAGCCAAAGCTCCCCGTACTTTGGGGAAACAGAAATCCTGTTTTGTTTCTTCATTTTCTATTCAAGACAGCAAAATGTTTTACCCGCAGAGGTGGGCAGCTCCCAGTTCTGCCCCTTCTGCGCCAGAGAATTTCTTCCTGGGGATTTCCCCCAAAATCATTTTTTAAAAAAGCAGTGTAGTAATCTAACTTTGCTGCAATCCGTTGTTTTGCCTTTTGGTTTATCATCTCTTGCGGTGGCGTATTTTTGCTCAATTTTGCTTTGCTTTAATTTAGAAACGGGTGGTTTCAGATTTTTTTTTTATACCTTCACCTGCTCCTTTTAGATGTTCTGATGTTGTGGGGGTATATTTTGCAGAGTCAGCTTCCCGAGAGCTACCTTCCTCCCCACATATAAACACAAAATCCATCGACGGAAAAGCTACGAAATGGAGGACAATTTGGCCCTGCCCTCGGTGAGTCTCGAGGGAGGAAGAGTGCGACGGGACAGAAAGGGAAAGTCAGAATTGTGCTGGGGGGGGGAATAAAAATGAGAACAATTCCAGCATCTCTTGTAAAACCTAGAATTCAAGGTTAGCATTAAATACTAGATAGATAGATAGATAGATAGATAGATAGATAGATAGATAGATAGATAGATAGATAGATAGATAGATAGATAGATGATAGATGGATGGATGGATGGATGGATGGATGGATGGATGGATGGATGGAAGGTAGGTAGGTAGGTAGGTAGGTAGGTAGGTAGATAGATAGATAGATAGATAGATAGATAGATAGATAGATAGATAGATAGACAGATAGATAGATAGATGAGAGAGAGAGAGAGAGAGAGAGAGATGGATGGATATGGATATGGATATGGATGGGTAGATGTGGATGGATAGACAGACACAGACAGACAGATAGATAGATGGATAGGGATGGATAGATATGGATAGATAGATGGATAGGTAGGTAGGTAGGTAGGTAGGTGGATGGATGGATGGATGGATGGATGGATGGATGGATGGATAGATATGGATGGATGGAGAGAGAGATGGATAGATAGATATGGATGGATGGAGAGAGAGAGATGGATAGATAGATATGGATGGATAGATATGGATGGAGGGACAGACAGACAGATATAAATAGATAGATAGACAAATAGATAGACAAATAGATAATTATAGATAGATAGACAGACAGACATTAAAAACAGTGTTTACCTGGAAGGCCCTGCCTTTCCAAAAGAAAAGATGAGACAGGAAAAAAAGCAGTATCTAAACTCTCATTGTGTATAAGACGCTGCTCCTGTTTCAAAAGCAAATCAATGGGGGGAAAAATACCTTTGACTTAAGTAAACACTTAAGGCCGCTTCGTACTTTGGATTTGGCTGTAAAAGTTGAGGACTGCCCTGCAATCTTGGAAAAGGAACTTTGGCAGTTTCAAGCACTATTTTTTTCCCCCTTCAGTGGAATTTGAGTGCTTGTAAATAAATTTACAGGGCTAGCAAACAAAGACAGCCTGCCTAGTATATTGGCTTAAACCTGGGGACTCTTGCTGTAAGTTAGTAGCGAGGGACATCAGGCTGGGGTGGCTTTTAAAAAGGGGGTATATATAAGAGAGATAATAATAATAATCTTTATTGATTAGCCCTTGGGCCATATCAAAGTGCAAAGTTCCAATAACAAATCATTACCAAAGTCTAATAAAAGCAATTTAAAATAAAATTTGATAAAATACAGTTTAAAATGGAACTAGAATAATATATGACTTAAGATGAAATTGGAGTAAAATACAGTCTAAAATGAAGTTAAAATAGAGT